CAAGGGTTACATTGGAAATTACTTGAAAAGGCTTCCGTTCCTTGCATAAGGTAATTGGACTTTGTAAACGGCACTAATGCATTGCCAGAGCCATAGCTAGGGGTTTCACTGCTCGGGTACAACTGAAGATATCGCAACCCTTCTCGTTGGTAAGAACGGAAACTATTTAATTCTAAAATTTCGTAACATCAGTTTGGCGCCCTCTGGATGCTGCGGCCGGGGACAGATGTCCCGCCTTGCCGCCTCTAGCTACGCCCCTGTACATTGCATATTAAAGAATATAAAATAATAATAAGATATATATATATATAAATTACACTCAATCAAAAATTAAAGCCTTCAGCATTACCTTATACGGGGGTGGCTAATTATATTTCAAACTTAATAATGAAAAAAAAAAAATATTTGTAATCGAAATAGGTTTTTAATTGTTCTTCAAAATATTCTCCTAAAAATTCAATACACTTTTGCATGCATGTGAACCAATTTTCGAAGCACTTTTCCCACTCTGATTGATACAATTTCAAAACATACGTTTTGAACGCATCAGCCGCTCCTTTGAGTCTCGCAAATCTTAGACCACGTAATTTATGTTTGATGTGCGGGAATAAGAAAAAGGTCCTTGGGTGTCAAATTAGGGCTGTATGGCGGATGACCCATCAATTCGATGTTTTGGCCCGTCAAAAATTCCTGTGTTTGAGCCGATGTGTGTGATCGCATTGTCCATGATGAAGAAGTATTCGCCTCTTCTGCTTTTTTCAAATTTCTCCGATGACTTCTGGTAAACAAATGTCGTGTACCATTTGAAACTGACCGTCCTGCGTTGTTCTAATGCCGCTGTCGTCCGTGATCGGTAATGTCGAAGAAACAAGCAACCATTTGCTTCGGTGTTTCTTCCGCGAACAACTTTTATTGGATTTGACGCATCTTGGAAGACCCATACAATCGGCTGCCGTTTTGTTTCGGGCTCATATGCATAGATCTAAAATTCGTCACCTGTGTAGATGTTATACACAGTCTTTGATGCACCTAACATATTTTTTCCAACATTTCCTTGCACCAATGACACGATCTTTCTTTTGAGCATTTATTAGATTCTGCGAGATCCAACGTGAACAAATATTTTTACGGCCAATTGTTTATGCAATATCTTATTAACGATTTTCATACTAATGCCCAAAAGACGCATCATACACACATTATGTCACATGGCGATCTTGTTTTATCAATTCACGCACAGCATCGATATTTTCTGGTACAAAACCCGATTTTGGACGACCTTCATGGAATTAGTTGGGTAGCGAAAGTCGACCTTGATTGAATTCATTATACCAGTTTTTTTACAGTGCTGTAGGATGGTGTTTTACCGCTGTATAGAGAATTAAGTTCATCGAAGCACTCTTATCTTGATAATCCACGTCGAGTTATGAAAAATAATCTCACAAAAATATTCACGAGTCAATTCTATTTTTTCCCGAGAGGAATTTTTCGGTTTACTGCAAACAACAAAAATGACAAAAGGTTCTGAAGAAGTTGTGGTTAAAAATACAGTAGAACTCCAATTATCCGAATCAATTGGGACCAGACCCCATTCGGATAATTTTTTTTTCCGAAGAAAGGGTTTACGCACACTTTAATTAATTACCGTATGTACTGTATATCGAAAATTGAAGGAAAAACCTATTTTTAAAGAAAAAGAAGTTTTAATTAATTAAAGTGAAAAGGCAGCACTTTTACGTACATGTTATATAGCGTACTGTACAGTACTTACAAGTGCTGACAGTCATTGCTTGCTGAACATCTCGGTCAAAGTAAGCTGTGTGACTGTCTTCATCCATTTTCGGCCAGCCAAGTCGCCCGTCCGCTGGACAATGAGAAGTTGCATGTGGTCACACTCGGGCTAACGCTCCATCCACTTCAGCGCAAACCGGCAAACGCTTCATTAGCTGATGGTCCCGTGTTTGCTTCAATTTCGACATTAATGTCGTCTTCTTCCTCGGCCTTCCTCGGCACTTTCTTCTCTCACACTTTCAATAAGTTCATCATTTAGAATTTGAAACCCAGAGTCTGACGAATCACACACCCTCCATTCTGCTGTATCCTCAGCAGTAACTTCTGAACATCCAGAAATTTTCAAAAGAACGTTTCTTAATTCCTCAAGTAGCACGTCATCCTCATCTTAATTCTGAAAGCGATTCGCTTAATCAGTGGTTCGGAGAGTCAGAATTCGGATAATTGAAGTTCTACTGCATCAAACTTTCGACTGGAATCGTCTGCAATCGCCTAGCAACACTTACTGTTGCAAAGGCCAGAAATATAAATAGTAACCTTCGTATGAGAAGGGCAAAAGAAGCTATTTTGCAGGGGTAATAAGAGACGTCTGTTTCTGAGCCAGTACTCCCTCAGTGTGCTCTATACTTAATATATAATTATCCATAAATTTTCACATTCATTTACATTAATTTCATATTACTTATCTGTATTATTTTCACTTTTTATTACATTACTCATAATCAATTTTATTATAAATAATCACTTTACTTTTTAATTATCATTTTTTTTTTATTTTCTCTTACATATGTACACGTATGAACTAAAAATGAATGTTTAATCTGCCTCTGCCCAAGTTTTGCAGTTCATTATGGATCACCATTTTCAGTATATAAGCTATCAACTTAACTACATTATTACAGCTAGCCGAAATGGATATCATCGGTCTCGGAAATCCCTGCCTGAAAGATAAGGTCATCTGCGCGGAATGAATCCTGTCTTAAAGTGCAGTTTATTTACAAAATTCAGATAAGTGTGTCAATGAGAAGGATCGAAGTTTTGCTACGAGAACTAATTTTATTGTAATCTGCATCCATATTTATGTATTATTCCCACAAGAAAGGAAAGAACAAAAAAGTCTGCAGTTAAAGCCATTTTGGTATTTATATCCATGCATATGTATTATCTTCATTTATTTTCGTATCGCACCTTTGGGTTTACACTGGCTTAATAAGTTGTACTCAACGACTGATTTCGTAGCTTTCCAAATAGCTTTTCACAACATCTGAGATCTTTGCATGACCTACCTTATTATTAATTTAATTATCGAACACCTTTGGCCCCTCTTAATTCCAAAAAATTATATATTAAGGAAAATTACGTATGTCATGCAAATAAGTTTGTATATAGTACATTTCTTAAATTTATTATGTGTAACCTGCACAAGTTATTTTCCTGTACGATTCGTAAACAACACTATTCTCTCGATGTGGGGGGTAGGGTCTTGTACCCAGGCACCCTGATGCTACACCAAAATTTTCTCTTCGAGCAAGGAAAAGCTCTAAGTTGGTCCTCTGAAAATCAACTATGAAGCCAAGGAAAAGAGTGCCGATGCTGTAAAGGGCCTTATAAAAAATTATATTATAGACACATTTATTACAAGTATCAAGACTCAGATCCCGATTAATACTGAAGCCCCGGCTTTTCAATAAACTCAAACTAAATGATGATGGAAAACAACAGGACTGTACCTCTGAAAGTGAATGGAAAACTCCGAGAAACCCAGTAAAACCTGCTGTAATTCCTGAACCCATGGAAGTCTCACATGAAACCGATTCCAAAGTCTGGAAATCACCGCCGTTGCTAATGAGGAAAGGATGAGTTATCCCCGTGGAGTCGCCTCCGCGTATTGTTATCCCTGAAAAAGCTACTGATTGATTGAAAGTGATGAAAGTTTTAGAAAATTCTGCACAGAAGAGCACGAAGCATCTATGTCTACGTGAAGAACGTGGATGATTATAGAACCATGACTAAAATGCTAAAAAAAAAAAAAAAAAAAAAAAAAAAAAGGAAGTATAAATACCCGTATAGAGAAGTACTCACCGAAGAAGCGGCCAACACAATGTTATCAGTGTCAGGCCTACGGCCATACACAGCATCTATGCCAAAATCAGAAACGGTGCTGTAAATTCGGAGAAAGAGACAGAACCAGTAACTATCCCAAGAAACCAGAAGAGAAGCCAACGTGTATTTTCTGTGGAGAAGACCACGTTAGCAGTTACAAAGGATGTAAATTGTACCAAAAGAAATTTGTCAAACAAGAAGCTAAATTTGAATCTAAAAAAGAATAACTCCTTCCTGCTATTAGAAGTACTAAATTCCCGATTCTATCCAAACCAGAAGCGAAACAAGCCAGAAACAACTATACAGTGAAAAACTGAAGGGACCAGATAAGAAAAATCCCTACAAAAAACTTTTCGAATATTCCGAAACCGACTTCCTCTTTTAATGAAACTGTAAACTGGGTATTTGATGAAAAGATTCGCCTCCTCCTGGAGAACATCATTCAGCTCATTTCTAAAATCCATGAAGAGAAAACACCAATGGAAAACTTAGAGCCGGGTTTAAAGCCGCCAAGATTTTGATTGCATTCGGCGACGCAGAGTAATCACGTGACATGAGACTTTCTGCTTCATCACCTAGTTCTACCTCTTTGAGAGATTTTCCCTTTAGGATTTTTCGATGTCAGGCTCTACATGGGATTACATAAGAAAATGGCAAGAGCAGGCTAGTTTTCCCTGCTGAAAGCCAGTATAGCCACAAAGTTCCTACCACTAACGCAAAAAGCTCCCGTGCGGTAGAATTCCATCTCTTTTAAATTGGCGAGCGTTGAGTGGTTCTCGAGATCACTACAGGCATACATAGAGTCTGCTGCATTGTTCCGTGTTATATTATTTCTGCATGACTGTCTTCCTAGGCACTTTCAACCCATCAATGTCGCTCTTGACTTTTTGTCCCTTATGCAATCTTTTAATCTTGCCATATATCCGCAAATGCCTTTTTAGTATTTTGGAGCGCTACTGGATGGTGAGGAACACCCTGAGTTTACAAATACTCTGTGCTGATGTCAGTTCTCATATCTTTGTTTTGTATTTTATTTGATGTTATCTTATAACGTGCCATTAGAAATAAAAAATAATAATTATTATTCCATTCTTTGATGGTGGATTTTGATTTTGCTTGCAAGCGCACAAAGTCGCGCGCTGAACAGCAAAGTAACTTGTATCGCCCTCTGGTCTTAAAAGTATGTACTTTTGTGGTTCATGACTAGAGTTTTAAATTGAGATGTTTTTAAAACTTTTATCTTCCTTTATTAAGTAAACAAAGCGGAGTCGGAGATTACCCGGTAATTTTATCCCGAGTACCTGATCATCTGATAGATAGTTTTTGAATAAAATTGAGATAAAAATAAGTAACGTTATAAATACAACGGATGTTGTGTGTCTGCATATGGTGTTTTACCTTTTAAATGAACAGTAATGCCTATGTAAGTTATATTTTATTATTATTTCTTAAAATACTTATTTTTTAGAACATCAGCGTATAAATAGGAGATTATATAACTGGTTAAATATTCATCTAGAAATCTGGGCATTAGTTGTTAAAAAATACTGATTTTAAAGTTCAGATTTTGACTAAACAATTTTATTATATTTTTTTATTTCAGATTTTGATTAAACAATTTTATTATATTTTTTATTTCAGATTTTGATTAAGCATTTTATTTATATATTTTAATTAATGGAATAAGAACAATTACATTAATTAAACAAAAATATTTTGAATTAAAGTTTTTATTTGTGTTTAGGGGATGTTTACAGTGTATGAAGAGTTTATAAAATTTTTGTTACCTTTTAGTAGTAACTAATAATTCTGTAAATATGGTATGATGCGTTTCCAAATTATTCTATCAGATTAACAAAATTTGATCAAATTATGCAATGATTAAATCATTTTTGTGCCTTACACATGTATATCCTGATAGAAACATTGCCATGATCATTATGGCTTTTAAATTCTGTTTACAAGATGAGAATCCAGAAAATAAAATTTAAGTAGAATATTCCAGTAAGTGCTTTATATTTCAGAAGCTAATTAATTTGTTTTACATACATTCTTTCTGTTTGCTATCTAAGAGGTTTCAGTGCAATTTAAGGCTTTCAATGCAACCGATTGAACCGTATTTCTTGGATCTTGAAATACAGTTTCCTGTCATGAATTCCCTAATTTGCATCCCAATAAAGGTATATCACCAGTTAGACAACCCTGTTTTTAGGAAATGAAGAATCTTTTTCTTTTTGACATATTTTCTTCATGGAACTTTCAATAAAACTAGCATCATGCGAAAAGGTAGTATGTTCACGTTATGATTACCACATCTCGAAACATATTAAAATGAGTATATCATAGAGCTTTGTCCATATCTTGAAATATAAAAAAAGAGGGTTGATCTTTGGATTATGGTAACTTGGTGATTTTTTGGCGACCAACTCTGCTACAGCAATCCTCTATTTTTTTTTTTCGCTGCCATTTTGTCTTCACGAAGTAAAGACATGTTTCTTTTCTTTTTATTTACTGAACACTTTTTCCAACAATCTACTAGCCGAATTACGCTTATGCTAGAAATTTTATGTAACAAAACTGCTTAATCATGACAAATATTAACTGCAAAATTCGGAAAAAGTGCACAATCGCAAACTCCTTGCGCGTTTTTCAGAATAGCACATACACATAAACCATTTACACGTTGACTTATTTTTACTTAAAAAAACATCCCAGAATTGTTTTCCATGCATGTTTACTTCAACTGAAACGTATACCAAATTCCTACAAACATAAAATTTCACAAAATAACTACCACTTAATTAAAATATCACTAAACCATGTACACGTCGACTTATTTTTACTTACAAAAACATCCCAGAATTGCACAAAAATGGCATTGCGCACACTCTTCACTATATCCATGTACACTGCTTTTTTCTCATAAATTAGAAAAATTTCACGAAAATGCATGACAATTTTCTGAATCTTTAAATCCGGTAAAAAGAACGTATATGAAATTACCTGATCGCGAAAAAGTATATACCCTTTCCAAAGATGAACATTTCCATGTATAAAATAAATAAAATATCCAAAAACTTTTACCTCTAAATTATCTATTATATTATAAATGTCACCAACGAATTCATACCGCAAACATTACGAATGGTTACAAATACTTAGTGTTAAATATTTAAATTATTTCCATGAACATTTACTTCCACTCAAACGTATACCAAATTCCTACAAACATGTAATTCACAAAATAACTATCATTTAATTAAAATATAATTAAATTCAAAAACACTACTTAAAATATAAATAAGCACATACATTAAGTTAATAAAAAATTAGCTTACAATCCTAATTACTTTATTTACTCCTGACATTTAGAACAATGCATAAAAATAATATCCTCAAATAATTAAAAATACTAACTTACCTAATCTTCTACAGAATCTTGAGTGCATGGCGGATCACAAAATGTCCATTTTCACCAGGTTTCTCGCACCGCCATTCAAACTATCTGTAATATCCATCCTTTCACACTATCTCATTTCATTCCCACATATTGGACATTTATACTTATCCGCAATTAAGCAGTTCTTTTCAACTACACATAAACGCAAAAATTTCGGATTTACCTTATATCGGGCCATGGGATCCAAATATTAAACAACATATTTCACAGAACATAGAATGAAACTACTGCTATAAAGTACAGCAGATATTTTTACAAATATATCCCCCTTTTCCGATTAAAGAACAGTGATTCGTCCATTAATGTCACATGACATATCACATGATCTCTCATTTCCCTCACACAAAATAATGCGCACTTCTCACATTACTGAGTACTTCTCACATTATTCCCAAAGTCCTAGCTAGTAACCTTTATCACCTCCAAAATGTCGCCAAACTACCTGTTACCATATTCCAAAGATCAGCCCAAAAGAGGGCACTATATCAGTCAAAATTCTTCTAAACCCTAAATAACATCTTACAGATCCAGTACAGCTCCAAGCTTAGCAACTGCTTAAGTTTCCAGTTAAGCTATTCTCGTAAGGGTCAGCGAAGTAAGATTATATTTTACCTTGAATTATAAATATATTTAATTGATACAAGATGCAAACTTTGCTGATCATTTAGGGCATAGAAATTACTGAAGCTGGGCATATTTTACATTACAATTGCAATACATGAAAGTCATTCAAACTTTTACAATGAAGTTTTATTATATGATATATATTTTAGAAATAAGTATTTTAATATTTATTTCTGAAGTCATTATGATCTGACTATGCTTGTGGACATAAAAACTAAAACACTTCATTGTTTAATTTAATTTCAGTCACTGATATTTTAATGAAAGGTAATTTTATTTAAGCTTAACTTTATCTGTGCAGTCAAAAATCTAAGTTTAAACACTTATTCTAAACAATCAGTATACAAATTTTTGACTATTTTAGAAATGCTTGGTTTTGCTTTTTGTATCTTAATACCATTGTTCTTTAAGTTGACCTTTAGCTTTCACTGTTTAAAAACCAAGCATTGTAAAAAATTTAAATCTGCAAAACCAACTTCTGAATATCTCTTTTAATTTAAAATATTGTTCTTTGGCATTAATTTAATTCTTGAAAGTGAAGACAAATGATAATCCATGAGGACATACACTGAAGACTTTATTTCTTAATGTTTCTCAAAGTCAGAAATTTTTAATATAATATTCCTACTTGCATAAAAAAGAACAATATTTACATAAAAAAATAACAATATTTACATAAAAAAAGAACAATATATTTTTGTGTCCAAGAAGAACTCTTATTTTGTGATCTTCACGGGAACGAAATATGTACTTGTAATATTTTCTTGAAAAAATTGTATGCTAAGATTCTTTTTTCAATGTTGCAGATTCTTGTGTAGCACTGACACATACTCATTCATTTTCAGTATGAACCAGCAGAACAGCTTGTAGTTAATTTTCATTTGAGAGGATATGTTTGGTAAAATATTTATTTGGTGGTAATTTATACAGATAGCCCTAAGGGGATGTTTCTTGTTTACATTAGTTGCTAGATTTATATAATTTTGCTTGCTGACTTGTCTAAATGACATGCCTGTAATTACAGTCCCAATATATTGCTATCTAAAGATGACATCAACTTTAAAACTTGTTTGTAGGAAATGTATAAATAGACTTCATTGTTAAAGAATTTAATGGTGCTCAAACTGCCTGGAAACATAGTGTGTCAAAGCTGAGAAAGCTAAACATACCTTTAACACTGAATTCATATCTTTTATTCCTTCTGTGAGATCTCCAAGATAATATTTCATCAATATATTTTCTTTCTGTTTATTTGTAATGTTGTCATTGTGTAGCTCCTCAGACATGAAATAAACATATACAGTACAAAGTCTTTAATCCGGACTCGTCGGGACTTTGGCGATTCCGGATTAGGGGTTTTTCCGGATTATAGATTATCAGTTTAAATCTGGTAAGATGGCATGCAGAAATTATAAAATTAAAAATATGAAACTGCAATTTATGAAATAAAGAGCAATTATGATCTAAAGGGTATCAAAATTTACAAAAAAAAAAAAAAAAAAAGCTTAATATTTATTTGTTTACTTTATTAAACATTTCTTTCAATGTAAGTTGTTTTGTTTTATGTGCTAATACTTTATCTTTAATTCTATAAACAGACATAATATCTTGTTCAGTTACAAAGTTCCGCTGTTCAAGTCCTGTAATTACTGTGCCGAGAATATCAAACTTGTCAATCGAAATTTTTTCGTTTTCACTAACCTCTCTGTCACTTTCTTCATGCCTTTATCCATTTTTTGCAGCAATTCCACTTTTTGTTTGACGGACATCGAAACATGCTTTCGCTTTGTAGATCCTTTGGCAGAATTGGAAACTCTTTTTGACGTAATCGAAAGTTCAAGCTTTCTTTTTATAAAATTGCTCTAACAGTCTGTAAAAAATAATAAGCAGGATCCAATTAGAAGATTAAGGAACAATGCAATCTGCAACATTAACTGAGATAATTAGATAATTTTAGCGTAGCTTATACCGTCCGTTATACATTAAACGTGCATGCGTAAACACACGTGCGCATGCATTAAGGTATTATGTGCATATATAAATGCATATACGCATGCGTAAACGCTACGCATTCGCAGAAAGTTTGTAGCTTTGAGGTACGGATTATAGATCATTCTGGATTATGGACGTCCGGATTAAAGACTTTGTACTGTACTACATTTGGAAATTTTTAGACTGGTTTTTCTCATTAGAACCTTAAAACTGTCATGCCCAAAATAATTTCAGGCACAGCACTGGTATTCCAAAATGTCACGCCCAAATATTACTCGGGCTAATTTTTTTTTTGTGTGCATCGTATTGTTATACCCAAATATATATATCGGGAGAAGTTTATTTCGTCTTCATTTCAACAGATGGCAGAACTTTACTGGAGGTTTCAAAGGATAGAGGTTAAAGTTCAAAGTACACGGCATTTTAAAAAATTTTTTGACTGCGAGGCAAATATTTCATTTTTGGAATAAAAAAAAATTGACAATTTTATCACCCACATCATCAAAATAACTTGACAGTTAAAAAAGGTTAACCAGCATGCCTTCTTAGATGTGGGTTTAATTTTTAATTTCTCCCGATTTTTTTCTTTTATTCAAAGATTTTATGTATGATTCTAGAATTTTATGTTTGGGAAATCTCAGAATCATCTTTGGAAGAAATCAGTCCAGGACATTTGCAGTTCGATTCTTTCCATTACCCAACTAGTTTAGTTGTTTTTGCTTTTCCCTGCATCCTCCCTAACCATTCCCGATCGTATTCGTCGTTCAGTTCTTTTCGCTCTTTGCTCTATCCTTGCTAACTGTTCTTAATTCACACCCAGTTCACAGTTTTTTTTTTTTTTTTTTTTTAAATAAAAAGGTACTGTTAGTGAATGGTGAGTCATAACAATTGAAAAAGCATATACTCTGTATAACTGTGTAATCATATCTAGAATGTTCACTTCAGTGCTACTTCTGCAACAATATGCAATTTTTGCTATTTTGTAGGAGTTACTTTATCTGCAATACTGGGATTAAATAAAAGAAATTGATGGAATGGTTCTGATTTTGCTCGAAATTTCTTTAAACTAAGCACTACTGGTCATGAATACTTCCTTTTTGTAAAAAGTTACATTTCATTACCTGCATAAAATTGATTTAATACGTATAAAAAAGGGGATAGCCACAGTGTTTGTTATAACACGAATGAAAGCATCTTAAGTATGACTGATCCAATTTTTCATCTGTCAGTGTTTTCTCTAAATCTATCTAGATGTGAACAGCAGTTGATATGATTCAGTCCTTCTGCTGTATTTTATCAAGTGCTGTTCAAAAGTCAAAAGTTTTTAAGAATTTTAAGAAATGTTTAGCATTATATAATTAATGATGATGTTATATAAAATTGTATCAGTGCCACTACAATTTTAGGTACTTGCATATTAGTGCAACCACCATGATGCAGCTTAGAAATTTTTTTCAGAAGAAAAAATGATCTGGTGAACTTTTGGATTGCAACTTACAATGGATGTGGTTACTTAAAGAACTGTTATGCATATGGTTGCTAGAGTTTGGTGACTTCTGAAAATTTTGTGACTTTTACTAAGGTGGTTGCAATAATGTGTAAGTACCCAATTTTATTCATATGTTTTATCTAAATCTGGACTGTCAGCTACAGTATTCCAGCATGCTGTTTTTAATGAAATTAGCTTTAATCTACTAATTTATCTATATTTTTTTATTTTCATATACCTGATTTAAATTAATGTTTAAAAAAAAGTCATTTGAATTTATTTGGTTTAAATTAATGATCCCGCTCTGATATAAAAATCAAAGTGTCAGTGAAAGGCTTGTTAAAAAAACTGATGGTAGACTAAGAAATTCTGATTTTAGAATCAAAATCAGTACCACAAAATATTGTAGACCGTGTACAGTTTTGTGATATTTTACTTCAAATTCCACCTCGTAACTTTTACATCACTGAAAACCACAAATGTTGCCCATATACGAATCAGACTTTTGTTAATGTAATTAACTCCTAACTGTCAATTAGTTTTGATTATTTCAGCAACAAAAATGCTCCTCTTTTGATTGCAGAAATGAAGTAGTTGTTAGATAACAAATAAATATGTGATAGTTAAAAAAAAAGTTACATTTAAATTAACTGTGTAACAAATTTCATTTTTTCACATGCACTAGATATATAGCTGCTTCTCTATGCTCAAATATCATCATCTGGCATTTTTACCTAGCTGAGTGATTAAAAAAAAGTTAAAAAAACAATTAGTAGCAAGTAACAAAGTATAGTGAGATTTTGTGCTATATTTGTAAACACTGTTCCAAACAGAAAATACCATTACAATTCACTCTGTAATTCCATCTCCTTTTGTCTTTTATTTCTTTTATAGAAAAACTTTTCTAGATACACATAGTGTGTTAGCAGTTTACTGAATAATTGGTGCTGACTTCATGATTACTTTGATCGCCCCCGCCTTGCTTTATATACATCTTATGAACATGATGAAAACAAACTTTTTTTTTAGTGTGTGTGTAATAAAAAGGATTTTGTAATCATTATGACAATTTTACTTATGTGCATATTTCTTTTTAATATAAGAATATACTACACAGGTGACTTTACATTTCTAGGGTTGCTCTAGAAGTATCTTATTAGAATAAATTTGGGATTGGTGATTTCGGGAATAAAATTGGCAATTGTGTTGGAATCAACAGAGAAGCATCTTTTTGCTGTAACAGAAGCATTAATGATAAGTGTTGTATGTTTTTCTCATTTTATAATTTAAAAATTGTTTTTCACATGTATGTGAATACTCAGGCATTCTAACTCTATGTATTTTCCTTCCACCAGAATGGGCTGTGCAAAAAATGGCAGGAAAGTCAAATGTATTCGAAAGTAAGGCCACATATTATAATCCGGCTAGTAAGAAGTGGGAGACAGGTGTATTCACTTTGAACAAAAACTTTTTTCAGTTTGTAAGTGATAGCAATAACAGCGATCAGCTTCATCTCTATTTTCCTTTAAGCACAATCAGTGGCTTAGAGAAGCGACAGTCAAGTTTAATATATGCTGCTCTGGTCATAAGTGTTGGCTCAGAGAAACACTGGTTTGCCTCCTTTCCAAGCAGAGACTGTGTATATAATTTAGTTGAGTTATTTTGGAGAGAATCATTGCTTTCTAGGCCTATTAAAACTCCAAGTTCTCAAAAAGCTAAAGCTAATTCCGCTTTAGGGAAAGAACTTCTAAATATTCTGTATGAATCTGAAAACACATTAGTTGATGCGGCCAATACATTATCCGATCAAGGAAGGCAGCTTCATGAAGCTCAGAATGAAATCAAAGATATTAATGAAGACATAACTGTAGCTGAAAAATTTTTAAAAATGCATTTTTCACAAGCTATTGTGAAAATGAGTGCAACAAATCCCAATGTGAATGAAACAAATCAAGAATCGGAGCAAAGAACAAAGAAATATAAAGTGACGTTTTCTTTTTCGGGAATTTCAAATGACAATAATAGTTGGCAAAAAGGAACTCTACTTATTTCTGATGATGTGAAGTTATTAGATGAACACTACCATGGCGTAATACAGATCACACAAGATGAACTGGAAACATTTCAGGTAATTATAAAAATCTCTATCAAAGAATCATTACAGATTTTTTTAACCAAGTGACATGATTTATGAATTTGTGACATGAAATTTTAATTTAATTTTGCATATCCAATGCTGAGAATACAGTTCTTTCAATGTATTAAGAAACTCTGTGTGCTTTTATCAGATTGATATATTTATTTTATATTGTAGCTTTATTATTATGCATTTTCCTTTTTAATGAATAATTTCTAATATAAGAATTACTTTGCAGCTGCTGAAATATACCTTGTTTTCTGATTTTTATTTGCCCAGTTATGTATGTACACATGTTCACAATGTTTGCATGTTACAGCAGGGATGCTACAAGTGCTGCATATGAAAGTCATTGCTATTTATGGCTTGCTCCAGCGACATTTGTATTTTCAGTAATCTGTAAAAGCATCATGAAACAGCAGAGGAATGGTGTTTCTGTCCTCACTGGCAGCAGAAGTCCAGATGAGTGCATGTTTCACAGATGCCCTGTGCACATCAATGGTTTGAAGATTCAGTGGTAATCCAAGTTTCGAATACAGTACAAAGTCCGTAATCCGGACTCCTCGGGACTTCGGCGATTCCGGATTAAGGGTTTTTCTGGATTATAGATCATCAATTTAAATCTGGTAAGATGGCATGCATAAATTATACAATTAAAAATATGAAACCGTAATTTATTAAATAAAGAGCAATTATGATCTAAAGGGTATCAAAATTTACAAAAAAAAAAAGCTTAATATTTATTTGTTTACTTTATTAAACATTTCTTTCAATGTAAGTTGTTTAAGTTGCTTCGTTTTTTGTGCTAAACGTGCATGTGTAAACATTAAACACGCATGCTTAAATGCATTACGTGCATGCGTAAAGCATAACAAAAAAAAGTTTGTGGCTTTGAGGTCCGGATTATAGATCATTCCGGATAATGGACATCTGGATTACAGACTTTGTATTGTATATGGTGTTTCATAGTATTATATAAAATTTCAATCAAGGCATGGTGTAGTGGCCGAAACCGCTATGCAAACCCTGGGTTGTGACATCAGGTTCAAAACAAAACACAGCATAAAAATTTTATTGAACGCAAAAAAAAAAAAAAAAAAAAAAAAAAAAAAAAGGCTACATACAATTCTGCAGAGAGAAATCTATATATTTAAAAAATCAAATTCTATATATTTTACGTGCGAGAGCAATTCGTGGCTCTCAAGCTTGCGTTTTTAACATTGCCAACGATTTAATTATTTTAATAAAGACTATTTTAAAACTATTGAAAACGTGTTTGTAAGTAAAAATAATAATAATTTTCAGCTTATTCTCACGAGACAATCCTTGTCCATATTAATTTTCAGTCTCTTCTTTTCTTTTATGTGACTTATCACAGTCCTCCCCTCATAAAGGAATTTTTCTTGACTATGGAAGGAAAAATTCTAAATACATTTCACTGCTTTCAAAACACAAGTGGTAACCATTTAAGTGATAATGGAGAAGCCAGTTACATTATCCTGCACTTTTTTCTAGATAACAAAAATGCAAAAATACAACAAAAGATTTTTAAATTTTGAATCTACACAAAGTACCTTTCAGTTTACAAAATGCTAATACGTAACACAAAACACTTCTAACCATTTTGAATAAGAAACACACAATGCAAACAATTTTAAATCTGCAAAAATATAATTCCAAAACATTACAAAAATCATTTTTCAAACAAGAGTTTACAGAACAAAATTGATTGGGTCCTCCATATGTATTTCATATGCTAAAGTGCCTGCTGTGCATAGATCTGATCTCGAATAATTCAGTTCACTGAGATAGGACACGCTTCAGCATTTACAACTTCTGGTGCCATTAATGCTATATTTCCAGCTTTCTCAACAATCATATGAATTGTAAACCAGATAGAGGCCTTCATGACAGCATCCAATTCAGTAAGTTATTAGCAAGCCTAGGAGAGGAGGGTCCATACTGGAAATCTAATAAAATATTGTTAGTCTGTAAATCCCGATGAGTAACATCATTTTGAAGCAAGTGTACTAAAACTTCCAAAAGCTGAGTAAACAGTAGCAATGCTGTGTGACCAGAATACATCTATCATTTTAAAATATTCTTTTAAATTGCAATTGTATCTCTTCATAAGAAGAAATAGAGTCATACTTCTACCACATCCATCACCCAGAAGACGGACCGGAAGGGCTTGTCGATAATTAATGAAGGCACCAGGAAGCAGAGGTGTTTGATCAGCAAAATCAAAATACATTTCAACTATATTTGGATGAGGTCCCAATTTCTTTTTCCGGACTTTATGATTTGTCAGTTCATCCAAAGAAAACTTGCCAATGGCTGGTAATGTCTCCTTATACATTGCACGCCATATAGCATATGCATTTGATTCAGCATTATAATGAACATCTTTTACAGCAAGGTTATTTGGAAGCAATTTCTCAGAAGAAAACGTCTTGATAGAAGTGGGTTTTTCGAATATCGAATTCTGCAGATCTTGTGTTCCTTCAGTACACGATATAATAAATTTTGTTTGCAGGGTTCGTACGGTCCTTAAAAGTCCTTAATTTTTTCAAAAATGATTTTTTTCCCTTAAAAGTCCTTAATTTTGGCCAAAATGAATAAACGGTCCTTAATTTTGCTCACGATTTCTCATGAATATGGAATTAAAATTACATGGCTCTTAACCAATCTGTTGGCGGATTTGCGTTGCAAACGATAAAAAATTAATTACCTAGCCTAGAACGAAAGTATCGGGGTCTGATTGGCTATTCACCCAATGTCTTTCGAAACAGGTGTTATCCATAAATTTAGGCAGATTGTGACGAAAGCGTGAAGCCGGAAGTTCTTTAAGAGGCGAAAGTGATGATGAAGGTGCTCGAGAAAAAAAAAAGGGGGGGGGGGGATTCTGAAAATATTTGCCAAAATTAGAGCAATCCCAGAACGAGATGCCTGGAAAGTGCATTTTCAATAAACTGTGGCTTCATAAAGCTGGATATTGATGGATGACAATCCTTATAAAGCTAAATATGGTCTTTGTCTGAAACAAATTGAAATTTCTATAATGGGAGAATCAGCGCTGAAAATTCACATGGAAATTAAGTTTCGTTTTATCATTTCAATTTGTTTTTACACGGTTTTGCTTAGCTTAATTTCTGTGTTTGTTTCAATTAAGCCATAAATTAATTTTTTATCACCTTCTACGGAGTTTATTCTCTTTTGCACATACTATATGTATGGGATATCGGGATTATGAGTTTTATTTCTGCAGAGGCTTGTCTGTTATCGATTTCGCGGGAAATCTGTTGGCTCCATTTTGATTTTAGGTCGCCAAGGGCAAATTCGGTAACGCTAGCCGAGAAAAAGTGAAGTTCGGAAATACGTTTTGAAGCTTCAATAGACAATTAAGTATTTGGTTTAAACCTATGTTGTTGATAGTAATGCATAATTTTTGCTAATGGCGATACAATCATTAGTTGAAAATAACTAATTAAAATTTTTTTAATATTTTTAAAGCTGAAAACAACTAATTGAAACTAATTTTCCTGAATTAACTAGACGCAAAATTAACTTTCATGAATTACTAAAGTTATTGGTAGAAGTTTAACTGAAAATATACATTCCGTATTATATATATATATATATATATTATACAGTGTACAAAGGCCAAGGTCTGGACTCGTCGGGAATTCGGCGATCCCAGATTTGAGATTTTTCCGGATATTAGATCATTTTAAATTTACTAAGATGGCACGTAGAAATTATAAAATTGAAAATATGAAATCGTGATTTATGAAATAATGAAGCATTTATGATTTAAAGGGTATCAAAATTTCAAAAGAAAAGGGCTTTAATATTTATATATTTACTTTATTAAACATTTCTTTCAATGTGAGTTGTTTGATTTGTTTTCTCTGCTAATACTTTAGACTAATACTATAGACATATAATTTCTTGTTCAGTTATTAAGTTCCATTGTTCAAGTCCTGTAATTGCTGTGTCGAGAAATCCGAATAACTTGTCAATCAAAATTTTTTCTCGTTCAGTAACCTCTCTGTTACTTTCTTCACTATCGGTAGCTGTATTTTCTGGATTTAGAACCATACTACAGATTTCGCCCTCTGTTAATTGATTGATGATTGGGCATTGTCATCGCAATGAAAAACTTCTGTTTAACTTCGCTAAATTCTGCCGCCTGGTGCGGCCATGCGAGCTCTGGAGCTGGTTCTGGCTTTATGTGAATAACAAATCAGTTATTCTTAATTCAAATAGCACTAAATATAATCGTTTGTCCTATGAGTATCATTAACAAAATCTATTTTTAGCATAAGGAAAGAAATTTCTGCTAAATCTCCCCTTGTCAACATTTTAGCGCATTAAACTTAAATCTGTAATCGTATAATACTCTGTTATTTGGCGTCGCTGCATGATTCATCACTCAAGTTGTTGTCATCGTTGATAAACATGCGGTGTGATGAAAGCAAAATACAATAAATAATGATTCGCGATTTCGGCATCAAGGATATAAATATTAGTTGGTTGTAAAATTAACAAATGCTTCGGTTTGAGATTATGCCAAGCAGATACGCAGCTATGGAGTCAAATTACTAATCACACAAATTTATGCTAAAATAATTATTTCTTCAATAATGAGATATTTTATTTAGCTTCAAACTGAGATTAAGAATCGGGATTTCCGCATGTTTTTTTATGATGAGGAAAAAATCTAATGTGCGTGCGTTAAAGCATACTCCTTCCCTTCAAAAAAGCCCTAAAAAATTGGTTGGTAGCTTTGAGGTCCGGATTTTAGATCATTCCAGATATTGGATGTCCGGATCTCGGACTTTGTACTGTATATATATATATACATCATTCAAAATATAACTTACCAGTATGGATTCACTCTTTTAAAATAATTCTACTTTAATTAAACTTAGGAGATAATATAATCAATTAATCAATATTGTTTAGGAAATAAATTATATATATGTATA